GAGACTGAGGAAGGGCGCAGGGAAGATAGCTGAGGGCGGTAGAAGAAAAAGGAGACCGAGCAGGGGACAAGTGAGGCAAGGTGAAGGACGGGGGGTGGGGGGTAAAGTAAGAGTTTTGCACCATGCAGGCTAGGGCGCTCTCCTAATTATGAACACAGATCTACTAATAACAATTTATTACAGATATCTATGCTGAGATACCCCCTAACCATATTAAAGGCTTATTCATTACAAAATACAACTCCTCTGGGGAGATATTGCGCATGCGCTATCACACTAACGTAGCCAGATTGTGTATTCACTGGCATATGCAGCTGGAACCTTACATGCAAGGTCTTCTTCCTAGTTCTTAAGAGCGGTCTACTGATGGAATGTTATCATTTATATTTATGCTAGACTACCTCCTCTCCATTTTAAATGCATAATTTTCTCAAAATATTATTCTTCTCGGGAGATATTGCGCATGCGCGAGCACCGTTTCAGGCGTACAGTGCTAACTGAAGACAACTGCATACCCCCTCTCTCACTCAGCAAGCTATATGCTAGCGCATGCGCAATATCTCACCAGAGGAATTATATTTTGTAATGAATATGCATTTAATATGGTTAGGGGGTATCTCAGCATAGATATTTGTCATAAATTGTTAGGAGTAGACCTGTGTTCATAATTAGGAGAGCGCCCTAGCCTGCAGGGTGCAAAACTCTTACTTTACCCCCCACCCCCCGTCCTTCACCTTGCCTCACTTGTCCCCTGCTCGGTCTCCTTTTTCTTCTACCGCCCTCAGCTATCTTTCCTGCCGCCCTTCCTCAGTCTCCCACACTAACGTAGCCAGATTGTGTACTGACTGGCATATGCAGCTGGCACCTTACATGCAAGGTCTTCTTCCTAGTTTTTAAGAGCGGTCTACTGATAGAATGTTATCATTTATATTTATGCTAGACTACCTCCTCTCCACTTTAAATGCATAATTTTTGCAAAATATTATTTTTCTCGGGAGATATTGCGCATGCGCGAGCACCGTTTCAGGCGTACAGTGCTAACTGAAGACAACTGCATAATATAGCTTGCTGAGTGAGAGAGGGGTGGGAGACTGAGGAAAGGCGGCAGGGAAGATAGCTGAGGGCGGTAGAAGAAAAAGGAGACCGAGCAGGGGACAAGTGAGGCAAGGTGAAGGACGGGGGGGATGGAGGGAGTAAAGTAAGAGTTTTGCACCCTGCAAGCTAGGACGCTCTCCTAATTATGAACACAGGTCTACTGATAACAATTTATTACAGATATTTATGCTGAGATCCCCCTTAACCATATTACATGCATATTCATTACAAAATATAACTCATCTGGTGAGATATTGCGCATGCGCTAACACACTAACATAGCCAGATTGTGTACTGACTGGCATATGCAGCTGGCACCTTACATGAAAGGTCTTCTTTCGTTTTCGTAAGAGAGGTCTATTGATGGAATGTTATCATTTATATCTATGCTAGAATACCTCCGCTCCATTTTAAATGAATAATTTTCGTAAAATATTATTCTTCTCGGGATATATTGCGCATGCGCGAGCACCGTTTCAGGCGTACAGTGCTGACTGAAGACAAATGAATATAATATATTATAGCTTGCTGAGTGAGAGAGGGGTAGGAGACGGAGGAAAGGCCGCAGGAAAGATAGCTGAAAAAGAAGCTGAAGATAGAAGAAAAAGATAGCTGAAGAAAAAGATAGCTGAAGATAGAAGAAAAAGGAGACCGAGCAGTGGACAAGATCCATAATACCCTACTTACTCCTTCGAGAAGACTTCCATCAATTTCAAGAATATCAGCCGCCATCGAAGTTATAAATAAGTGTCTTTTCTTGACTGTAGAGCAAGTAAATCGGGTTATGAAATTCGCACCATTCATGCAATACGTAAACTAGACTGGTGCTCGCTCCCACCTCTCGGCTTAGTTCTGCTTTACTCGATGGGTTTTCCCATTGAGTAACTAAGCCGAGAGGTGGGAGCGAGCACCAGTCTATACGTAGACATACAAAAATACAAGATGTGCCGGTGAGAACAGAGGCGCCACCTTTTGGTAGAAAACGCGTAAACGCAGTAACTTTAGAAAGCATGTCGTATAATCATGAGTGAAAGTTATATACCTAAGGCTAGTAGTACTAGTAGTATAATATAGTCATAGATACTAAATATTTATGTGTCAGTGTGCAGCGCGGCAGCCAGCGTTTGTTACAGATGAGCATTTGGACGGCATTTGCAGGAAATTGTCGGCAATAATAGGTGAACGAAAGTATAGAAACATTAAGACTTTGGTAGTAAATATATTTCGTATTTATTTAGCATCATATTTTGGCATTATATTTTATTGAAACGCTCCAAGTTCTTGTGGTTCCAAGTCAAGTGCCCGTGCCACATACAGTCACGTTTCATCATATCAGTATTATCACCGTGCTGCAGGAAATTTATGTGTCAGTGTGCAGCAGCTAGCGTGCGGTGTCCTTGTGTGTTGCAGATGAGCATTTGACCAGCATTTACAGGTGATTATAGGCGAAATAGAATAGAGAAACATTAAGACTTTGGTAGTAAATACATTTCATGTTTATTTACCTTTTTTTATTTTATTGAGACGTTCCAAGTGCCTGTGCGTGTGTGCGCGTGCCCTGCGACAATGGTTGCGCGGCAGAGCACTGCTAATCTAGCGTAGAGCGAGCGCAGTTCGTCTCCTTTCATCGTAAATTGCCAGCAATTTGCTCTCGAAGAACTTCGTTAATTTTTGAAGAAAAAAAAGATTCGACGAACTTAGGCGCGCTTAATTAGCGACAGCACGTAGACGTACAGCTTGATCAAAGCCGGAGAATATACGCACGGGTGTATAAACCTGGGCGAGCCAGCGCGACAAAGCCTGGAATACCGGCGTCGCGAATCTCACACTAGCCGCCGCTCGCGCACCCTTAGCATCCTTTAGCAATCCTTAGCAATCCTTAGCACCCTTAGCAAGCCGATGGGTCTTGCTTGTAGCAGAACGACGAGGGTGAGGTAAACAAACGCGGTGGAAACATCAAACGATTTTTTTCGCAAACGATTCGGGACGATTACGTCACGGTGACACGCGCTCACCGCGAGCTGTCACGTGACGTCCCAGGAAATAAACTTAGACTGGTACCGCGTCGAATGCGAGTAGTAGCTATCTATACTATTATTGCAGTTTGAAGTGAAATTGCACTCACTTTTCTCTCTCATCTTAATTGTGTGAGATTATGTGTAATGCGCGCACAATTACTTGATCTACATTTTACTGACAAAGCAAGCAAGACCATGGGCTGAACTCAACATGAACGTACCAAATCCCGGTTGTGCATATAATTAACATAGTAAAATTTGAAATAATCATCGTAATCACGTAATAATTATCGTAATAACGTAGAAAAAATTGTCATACAGTTGTAAAAGAATGCCAGATTATTTATGTTAAATTTGTGGGCATCTATCAGTATTCATACGCAGTAGACTTGCAACTCGGGTACACGTGAATATGAATACATAACACGGTTACACTCAATGTTATACCATCTATAATCTATTATCAATGTGAACAATGAAACCATTGAAATATCATCACTTTAAAAGCTCATCAAAGAGAATCCATGGACACAGTTGAGCGAGCAAAGATTTTAACAAAGTTTTAAAAATTTATTCTAAAGGTAAATGTATGGGGTTTTAAATACGTTAGCAGTGAGTTTGTTTGATCTAGAATCAATTATCAAGCCCTTATTCGAACACATTTTTAATAATGCGATAGACCATCATCTCATAGAATAGAAAAGTAACTCACCATGTCAACGAAATCTGCTGCTTCAAGGTCAGAGAGACTGTTGTTGATCCTCACCTTCAAATTAAGCAAAATATCTTTACATATTTACTGCCACAAATGCAGGGACTATTTCTTAGCACCAGTACCAGTGAGCCATCCCCCAGCGCAGAGGTAAAAAAACCAAGCATCTATATTTAATATCAAAACGATTGCCCTGTGTATACCCTGCTGATACAAACTCTAGGGACTGGCAAAGCTTATTTGAAACGCGCGCAGTGTGTGAATGGTGGTACCACACCAGCATTGAAACCTATTTTCTAGGCATTGATATCGTGGTTTCGTTGGCTTACCCAGCTATAGAACTCATATTTACTCGGTTTTCCGAATTACGACTTGTCGATAGACATGTTTGTGGGCACCATTAAATAACAATTCTCAACTGATTGCATGGTTTGATCGTATTGTAGATACATCCCGCTATAGCTGTGAATTATTTTACAACTATACACTATCTCATGGCTGGCCGATGCTCACTATCCATAAAGTGAATCAGTGTATCAAAAAGATACGTCACAAAGAAATCAGATTTGATTAGATTGCTCGTAACTGGTTTGCACGTAGCTTGCATTATTATTCAGTTATCAGCCTCTAATACGAGACAAACATGAATTTACATGTTATAATTATGCGACGAAGAGTACGAAATGCAAACATTACTAGGCATTTTCATCTAAGATTGTGATTTTATCTATTTCTTGAGCAATGTTTGTCGAAGCAACGTGTTATTACCATCACAGAGTCTGGCAGAGGCAGCCAGCGAACTGCCTGCAGGCTTTCGAGGAATGCAGAACAGAAGAGGGGAGTTTGCATGAGCTTATCCTCCGCCTTCGTCGTCGGACTGCTATCTAGCAGCAACTGTTGAAACAGCAGCGAGAAGAGATGGTCCAAGGCTGGCTTGTTTTCCCTGTCTCCAAATGCGCTATATATCGAATGCAATCATCGAGTTTTAGGAAATCAACATGATTTTTTTTTCTTTTACCAATACACAGTGGGAGCTTGAACATTTACACTCACTCACGAACAAACAGAAACCGCACACGTATACATATATACATATATACATACGTACAAACACACACACACACGCACACGCACACGCACACGCACACGCACACGCACACGCACACGCACGCACGCGCGCGCACGCACGCACGCACGCACGCCCGCACACGCACGCACGCACGCACACACGCACACACACACACACACACACACACACACACACACACACACGA